ACCACAAACACCACCACCACCAACACAATCATCACCACCAGCATCATCATCCGAACCGCCACCATCATCGTGATAAGCATTGCCATCACCAGCAGCATCAGCATCGCCATGACCACCACCATCACCACCATCATCATCGCGACCACCACCACGACCAGCATTGACATGATACACAGTACCACCATCATTAGCAGCATCCTCACCATGACCACCACCACCATCAGCATGATCACAACCATCATCAGTATCACCGACATCATAGCGATCACCAATCATGAGAATCAGCACCAGCATTCATCACCATGACCACCACCAACACCATCAACAACATCGTCAGCATCACCATTATCGCCATTACCATAATCTTCATAACCATCATCCTGATGACAAGCGTCACCATCACCAGCATCGTCAACATGGCCGCCACCACCATCATCGCCATGATCACCAGCATCATCAGCGCCACCAGAACCACCACCATCATCACCACCATCATAACCATCATAATCATATACATTATAATCAACATCAAAACCAACTTCATCATCACAGTGACCGCAACAACAACCAGCACCGCAATCACCACCACCCCCATCATCATCACCATCATCAACATAATCACTACCATCATCAGCATCATCATCACCATGACCACAACCACCACCACCAGCATCATCATCACCACATACCCCGCCACCAGCATCATCATCTAGACCATCATCATCACCATCATCATCAGCTCAATCATCACCATCATCATGCTAGTCAGCATCATCATTCGCATCAGCACCTCGCCGCCTCCACCATCACCAGCATCATCGTCGTAACCAGCCCTACCATGATACTCAATACCATAGAGAGCATCATCATCACCAATATCACCAGCATTGGAACCACCATCATCCGCATCACCACAGCCACAATCACAACCACAACCACTATCACTACCATCATCACCGCCGTAGCCATCCTCACCACGATGATCATTATCAGAGTAAGGATCATCATCACCATGATCCCCAGCGCCACCGTAACCACCATCATCAGCATCACCACCACCATGTCCACCACCAGTATCATCATAATTACCATCCTCAGCATCACCATCAACCTAAACACCACCACTACCACCATCACCACCATCGTCAATCAACATCATCACCATCACCACCATCATCATCATAACCATCATCAGCATGACACTCATTATCATCAGAAGCACCGTGATCACCATGACTACCATTCCCATCATCACCACAGCCATCATCGCCAT